GTCTGCGGTGTATGGTATGGGGACAGAGGGAGTGTCGGGACTGTGTGCACATAGGTGTGTGAGGCCAGCAGTTCAGGTTGGAGGATAGAGTGGCTGCCTGAGGGCTGGCTGGGGGTTCCTCTGGAACCTCAGAGATGGAATTGCATTCCACTGATGGACAGAGCCAGTGCAGAGGCTGGGCGCTTTTGAAGTGTCTGCCCTGGGAGGGGAAGGTAAAGAGATGGCAAGTGAGAAGGGTAATGGACTTAAGGAGGGGATGTAGAGTCTCAAAGCCACAGGGAAAGACCCAATGGAGAGGGGAAAGTTGGCTGTACAAGAAAAGAAAGAATTTGCTATCTCTGCAGCTCCTGAGAAGGATGGGGTGGGGATGAGGTGAGGTGGGGAGCCATCAACAGACAGATTGGGGAGGAGTCTTCCTGACACCTTAACTAGGAGAGCAGGAGAGAGGGGAGGGAGAGCAAAGATATGTGTGGGTGTGGGTGTGGGTAGAAGAATAAATAAATGGAGAGCTTTAAAGAAGGAGATGATAGATAGATAGATAGATAGGTAGATAGATAGATGATAGATAGGTAGATGGAAGATAGATAGGTAGATAGATAGATGATAGATGGAAGATAGATAGGTAGATAGATAGATGATATAGATGGAAGATAGGTAGATAGATAGATAGATGGAAGATAGATAGGTAGGTAGATAGATAGATAGATAGATGATAGATAGGTAGATGGAAGATAGATAGGTAGATAGATAGATGATAGATAGATGCAAGATAGATAGGTAGATAGATAGGTAGATAGATGATAGATGGAAGATAGATAGGTAGATAGATAGGTAGATAGATAGATGATATAGATGGAAGATAGGTAGATAGATAGATAGGTAGATAGATAGATAGATGATATAGATGGAAGATAGGTAGATAGATAGGTAGGTAGATAGATAGATGATATAGATGGAAGATAGGTAGATAGATAAATAGATAGATGATAGATAGATGGAAGATAGATAGGTAGATAGATAGATCGATAGATAGGTAGATAGATAGATAGATAGATAAGCCCATAGACAGATTAACAGACAACTAACTAGGAGAAACACCCTAGTTCGCTTTCTATTACTGTGGTAAACACCATGACCAAAAGCGACTTGGGGGGAAAAGGGTTACTTATCCTAATCACAGCCCATCATAAAGGGAAGTCAGAGCAGGAACTCAAGGCAGGGACTGAAGCAGAAGCCATGGGAACATTGCTTATTGGCATATTCCCCATGACTTACTCAGCCATATTCTTATATAACCCTGGGCCACCTGCCCAGGTCTAGCACTGTCTGCAGTGGGCTCTACCCTCACACACCAGTCAGGCCAATACGATGGGGGCATTTTTCAACTGAGGGTCCTGTTCCTAGATGACTCTAGCTTGTGTAAAATTTACAAAAACAAAACAAAAACAAAAAACGGAACAGGAATAAAGGGCTGGAGGAAGAAAGGAAGGAAGGAAGGAAGGAGGGAAGAGAAGGGAATAAGGAGGGAGGGAGGAAAGAAGGAAAGAAGAAAAGAGAGGAAAGAGGGAGGGAGGAAGGAAGAGAAAGGAGGAAGGAGTGGATGTGTATGTAGGGATGGGTAGAAGGGAGGAAAGGCTGGAGAACAAGTGTAAGAATGGATGTATAGATGAGTGAATTCATAGATGGACAGATGGATGGACTAGATGGATGGAAGGAAAGAAGGGCAGGAGGAGATGAGGGGGAGCGATGGTATCTTAGCTAAGGCTTCTATTCCTGTGAAGAGACACCATGACCACAGCAACTCTTATAAAGGAAAAACATGTAATTGAGGTGGCTTACATTTTCAGAGGTTCAGTTCACTATCATCATGGTGGGACGTGGCAGCCATAGCCAGTACGAGGTCCTCTTGGACAGTGCAGAGGCCACTCAGCCATCTCTGTTTGGACTCTTGTCAGAGGTGTGGAGTTAGTGTCCTCTGTGGGTGTCATTGTCCTGACCACTGGAGCTCCTCCACAGGCACCATCTGCCTCCACTTTGAGTACCATAAGGTGTTAACATATTTATTTGTATGTGAGGTGGTGTTGGTGTTGACATTTGCACCCCAACAGCCCAAATGCTTCCCCAGTCTCCCTGGAAACCTTTCTCCTCTATAGTCCATCTTTGCCAGCAGTTCTGAGAATGTCCCTTCTAGGAGGAAGCATTTAAGAATGCCAACGCTGCAAATTCCCTAGCTCCCTCACTCCAAAGGCAAGTGGCGGAGGCACAGAATATTGCAGCAGGCAGCCCGTTGCCTGGAAGGGCACTGTCCTGGAGAATCAGGCCCTGGGACAGATTAGAGCAGGGAAACTAGCTACTAAGATGGGCGGATTCCTGTGTTACCTCACTCACTCTCGCCTCTCAGGCGGACGGCTTTTCAGACTTTGATGCCTCACAAAGGGAGCTCAGAGGAAAACAAAGGCATCCAAGGAGACACGCACAGTGAGAGTTGCCATGTGTCCTGTGGCCATTTGTTAGCTGCCTGACTCATGATTCTCCCTCCAGTAGCAGAGCCCAGAAAGGGACGTTTGTTAGCTCACCTCAGTCTCCATAACACCAATGCCCTGCCTGCAGTGAGATGAACTCATTCATTCTATAGATAGAGTCATGACCCCACACAGCCCCTGGGGTCCCAGCCACTTGAAATGTTCCCTATTGCACATAGCTATGAGGGCTGGCAGGCAGGATCCAGTTAGGCAAGGGCAGGACAACCCACCCCAGTAGGCCCTGCTGGCTTGGGAAGCTGGGACAAGGGAGGGAGGGAGAGGGGCAGGCTCTGGTTTCCAAGCCAGGCTAGGCTCTGGTAACTCAGGTTGAGCAACCACCACTGCATGTCAAAGTCCCCAGGCTTCCCTGCTGTGCTCTAAGGCTGTTCCAGTAAGGGTGGCTATGGGTACTCCTCCTGTGTGGGAATCTGGAACCGGCGCTGTGGGCTCATAGAATGTCGTTATTGGTCAGAGAGCTCAAGTCCAGCTCTGTCACACTCCAGAGAAACCATGTTCATACACACAAAGCTTAAAACTGGTGCAGGAAGTTAGTTCCCCATGACTGCAGGCACCTGGGAGAATCACTACTGTTGTCATGGTCACCATGCTGTGGCAGATAGGCCATCAAACTCCGCCAGTATTGGAACAAGCAGCCACTGTGGAAGATGTGGAACCCTGTATCCCAGAAGCTCGGTGCAGAAGGGCAGGCTGTACCCAGTCTGTGAACTCTGGATAAACTCTGAGCACCGTGATAGACCGGTTTGAAGATACAGTGAAGAATTTAGTTTTTGGAAAATGCAGCTTAAGGAACTTTGTCACTGGCCAGACCTGGACAAGGAGCAGATGTCACTGGATCCATGGGCATGACAGGAAGACAGATGGGAGCTGTGTTTTCAGCGGGTGGGGAGAAAAGCGTGGCAGTGGAGCCAAGCAGAAGCCTAGAGAAAGTTCAGACCCAAGTGACCCGGGGATGAGGGAGCCTTTAAGGAGGGTATGTATGGGCGGAGGTCACTCTGGGTGAAAGAGGACCTGGAGAAGGGCACACCTAGGGAAGGATACAGCACGTCCAGGTAATACAAACTTGGGGAAACACACACCTTGGGAAAAGGGTCTGCCCAATGAAAGAGCTCAGGGAGAGTAGGCTTAGAGGGCCTGGAAAACTCCAGAACAGCGAGGAGGGTACAGGTGATGGACAGCAAGGACTACATGAGAGTTATGATGCGCTGAGTCCTGTCCAGCTGAGTATGAAGCATGGCTTCTTCTTTCCCCCTCCCGTTTACGGCTGTCACTGTCTGCTCTGACTATGGCAGCTGGCATTGAGCCTTCTGCAGAGCAGATGCTCAGTCTGGGGCCCCATGGGGCTCTGTGCAGCTGTCTCCACCCTCTGGTTCTTTATGGCTCCTCCCAACTATGGTTCCCCGAATCCCCAGGGAGGCCTCCTATACCGCTGCTTTGACGTGCAGCTATGCAGCTCCTGTTCTTTGCTGTTCACCTGGCACCGCCCTCCCTACAATCTGCAGCCTACAAGAATCCTGGTATTACTAAGCATTGTGGTGAACAGCTTTAATCCTATCGCTGGGGAGGTGGGATCTCTGAGTTCAAGGCCAGCCTCGTCTATATCGTGAGTTCCAGACCAGCCACTTCATAGTGAGACCACATCTCAGAAAAAGCAAAGAGGAAGAAAAGGATACTGCCTGTGAGAGACGTGTTCCGACTCCCCGAGGCAGGATACTGGCTCCTAGAATAGCCCTCGTGCACAGGGATGCTTGGTGAGTACCCCGATCTAGCATATCATCTCTAGGGGTCTGCGTGGGGGAGGACATGTACACAGGCCCCCACCTGTGCCCCTCCTTCACCTTCCCTTAAGTTCCAGGGGGAAAGGAAGCCTCCTGCCCACCATACAGCCTCAGATGCTCAGGGACCTCTTTTTCCCCCTCAGTACGTCCCTGGCACGTCCTGCTTGGCATGGTCCTGGGACCCTGACCAGGGCAATGCAGACACACAAACGGGAAAGCTGGGCTGGGGCAGCCTGTGCTAGCTCTGATGGAGGGCACCTGTTACTCAACCTAGACACTAGTCTTTATTATGTACAGCAGCACAGAGGGATTAGGCAGTATCAGTAGGAGGTCTCTGTGGGGGAGCAGTCTCAGGTTGCAGTCGCCTAGAGGGGGAAATGCAGCTGCTAGTTTTTGCACAAATTGGTCAATAATTTGTAAATCCTGGTACTTGGACCAGAGGCAAATTTTGTCACTCTTCTGAGCCTCACTGGGGAAAGGCTTTGCCATTCCTCTGGGTTTGAGACATTGGGGTCCTTGACATGGCTGTGCCCATGCTAATAACACACCTTCATTCAGGACTTCATCTGCTCCACACTCATCCCTTGCTACAAATGCATGCCTGAGTCACCAACATCCTAAAAAAAAAAAAAAAAAAAAAAAAAAAAAAACCCAAAAAACAAACACACAAAACCCCCAACACTAAACTAAAAATCCCTTCTTTTATTTTTGTCTTACATCTTATCTCCTTTACTTGGTTCAAACCTCTAACACAGACTCTTTCCCCCTTGGCTTTGGGGAGAAGACCCAGAGTCAGGCCATTGTAATCTTATACACTGTGCACAATGGAGTTTTCACCAGAGACAAGTAGCACCTGCAGACAAAGTCTTCCCTCCGTAGGCCGAGGTACCATTGCCTTGGCCGGTGTCACTCGACAATGCGATGATTTATTCACTCCTGTAGAGGAAGGGATGAGGTCAGAGACCCTACCAGGCTAGTCAGGTCCTACCTGGGGGCTGCTGGTGTCTCCTGGGAGGTCATCGCCCGTTTGGACTGGTCACTCAGGGCTTGGCAGAGCTGCCCACTGTCAGCTGTTCATGGTCAGGACTGAGGCAGCTCGCTCACTTGGCACCCACGTGGCTCTCCATTACCGCCACGTTTGGCACAGAGCTCAGGTGACTCACTCACTTGGTGCTACATTTCCCCGCTACTTCCATCGCTGGCATGTGCTTGATGTCTCCCTTCCAGACCTGCCAGACCAGCCAGCTTTCGCTGCAATCTTATCGCAAGCTCAGTGTGCCGTGACGTCGCAATGGCACAGGAGAACACGTTCCGTCCTTCAGAGGCAGTACCAAAATTTCAACTTTCTGGAAATTTCCCAATACCCAAGGTCTGCCAATGAGCTCATCATGGAGCCTCTCCCGGCCTCCCTGGAGGGCTGTGCCAGGAGCTGGATGTACCCAGGGGTTGATGTTCCAGACATTTTTGTTATTGTGGCTGCAAGAGGGATCTATACTCAGTTAAAGGGTGGTTGCTAGGATACACACATGAGCGCACCCTGTGTGTACTGGTACCCCACCAACGTTCACTGCTCTTATTGTGACTTGGGAATGCCTGCTCCTTCTCTGAGGGGGGGGGGGCTATACTTCTCTGCTCTGAGGACAGCAGCCCTTGGCTAGTGAACCATGGCCTTATGCAGTTCCTCTAGGTGTCTCCTCCTGGTTTTTAAACCACTCCTAAATGCGGTGCTCTGAGCCTAGGCAGGTGGCTGAGGGAAGCCACTCCTCCTTGGGTGGCAGTCAGTGCCAGCTGGGACTGTCAATTAACTGGAGACAGCTGGATGTCTTGAGATAGCTGGGCTACTGTCACTAGGAGCCTCAGCAGACTCCTAACTCAGCCACTGTTAGGAGATCCAGGCAGGAGCTGTGACCCCTTAGGCCCTGGCCTCAGAATGGCCCTTTCACCTTGATCCATTGGCCAAGCAAGTCATTAAGGGCAGACCCAAGAAGCAAGGCAGCAGGAACGGGGCTAAGGCGGGGAGGGAGCAGCAACAGAGGGGGTCACCAGTGCTGGAATATCACACTGCCCGTGTGCAACAACTACGCGTCCAGTAAAAATAGAGATGAGATGACAAGAAGGCATGTGGATGCAGATGACAGTCTCCAAAAACGGCCACATGACACTGTTATGCCGCTTGCCTTATTGCTGTGGTTTGGAACTAAGCCTGCAGTGTGGTAAAGGTCAGGCACATGAGTACTTGGTTTTCATAAGGCCTTGGCTAGGTCTTGGGTTTTTTTTTTTTGTTTGTTTGTTTTTTATTAATTTCAGTGCCCAAACATTCTACATTCTAGTTCTAGTCTCCCCAAATTCACAGTTCCCATCACTCACTGTCCCACTGGGAGGTGGGATATTTAAGGCTCCGGCTGACTTGCTGGCGCACATTAGCCCCTTGTTCCTCGATAGTCAGCAAAGCCAGAGGCATTTCCAGAAATGGTCACAGCACTTAGATGGGAAGGGACATCTTGCTTTGTCAGATGAGGTAGAGTAGGCACACTAAGCCATAATGGCCACTAGAGGGAGCCCTGGGCTCTCTGCCAGGTACTGATAGATTCAGGCCCATGGTAAACAAATGGAGAATTTACATGTCATAACTGAGTCCTCCATTTTTGTGGCATATTTTTATGTGCCATAGGTAGAATTATTAAGACTCTTTTAAATCAAATTACTGCACATCACCGCTGAATATAGGAAGCCAATTCATGGATCACAAACAGAAATCACCTGCACTGCCCACTCTCATATTCCTACAGTGTCTCTCAGGCCAGCTGTGAACCACTGCTTATACAGACTTCAACCCTCCAAGCCCCTGGTTATCTGGAGTTTCTCTTTTGGCAACTTAAACATCCTGGGTCAAGTGTAGTGGTCCCCCTTGTATTTCTCAACAGTTTGCGGGAGCAGAGGCAGGAGGATGGTGAATTTGAGGGCAGCCTGGACTATATGGGACACATCCCCAGGAGTCTTCTTTCCATCCCTTACATCAGGACACCTCCAGCTGTGTTTTCCTCTTAGCACTTCCGTACATTCCAAAAGCTTGCATTTGAGGACCGAGTGGGCTACTTTCTTTCTCTCCCCAGTGCGTGGCTCCTAACTGTCAGTCCGGGCTCCACACATTGCACATGTCCATCTTTTCTGAGTGGCAGAATCCTATATCCAACCACACACCTGGTAATGCCAGTTGGGGATCTGATTGGCACCTCAGGTTTAGTTTAAGCATTTTGACAGCACAACTCTCCATTCTTGTAACCTTAGCCCCGCGGCTTCCATCTTCCCTGTATAGGCGGCATTTATTCCTTGGTCCTCAGGTGTACAGAGATCATAGCTAGCCTATTGCTGTTTAGTTTCTTCTGCATAGCTTACAGTGCTGTGCTATGGTGACTGACATCCCTGAATACCAGAGACTCGGAACAAATGTTTCTGTCCTGCTCATATTTATGTGGCCCTCGGCCTAGCTGGGTCTCTGTTTATGTTATCTTCATGCCAGAAGCAAAGCCGAAGAGCCAGTCCCTACTGAGCTGCCAGGTCATGGAGGGGAGGGCAAGAACAGTTAGTGGCACCCCCCTGCCAGCCCCTAAGCTTCCTCTGCAACAGCGAGGACCAAGCCCAGGCAGGCAGCTGTGTTCTTATGAACCCCTGGGGACAACAGCACCCACCTTAGCTCTTCATAGATGTGTCCGCAATGCTGATGAAACAATCAGCATTGTTCCTCTGCTACTGCAACTTCTCCCTGGACCTAGGATCTAAAGGACTCAGGAGGGTCAGAAAGTATCACGACCGAGATGTTGTCGCTGGTACTTTTAAATTGTTGTGACAAGGCATGTTATCCAGGCAATTTGAGGAAAAAAAAGAGTTTGTTGGCAGAGGGTGAGTCCATAACCATCACGGCAGGAAACATGGCAGCAGACAGATAGGTAAGCATGGTTCTGGAGCAGTAGCTGAGAGCTCACATGTTGAGGCAACAACTATGAGAGAGAGGGGGGGGGAGGAGGAGGAGGAGGAGGAGGAGGAGGAGGAGGAAGAAGAAGAAGAAGAAGAAGAAGAAGAAGAAGAAGAAGAAGAAGAAGAAGAAGAGAGCAAGCACTAACTGGGAATAGTATGGGCTTTTGAAACTTAAAAGTCTACCCCTGTTACATGCATCTTCCAACAAGACCACACCTCTTAATCCTTCTCAAACAGATTGATTCCCAGGAACTGCATGGTAGCTTACAACTGTCTGTAACGACAATCTCAGGACATCTGAGGCTATCTTCTGGCCACTACATGTACCTGGTACTCACAAGGTGCACAGACATACATGCAGGCAAAATACTCATACACATTAAAACAGATAAAAACAACAATAACAACAAAAACCCAATAAAATGAGGATCACATGACCTGTAGCCCAGGCAAGTCCCTAAGGGGTGAGTCTGAGTCCACAGCTCTGGTGGAAGAAAGGGGTCATGAGAAAACCAAGCACACCCACAGAATTTCACCTCAAATTACTGCCAATAGGGTCTTGGTTTAAAAGCCCAGTGTGTACCATAGAGTACCACAACTGTGTACAGCTCTCTAGGCAGCAAGGGAAGGCCTCTAGGACAGACTGCTATGTTTAAAGAAATCCTCAGGCATGAAAAGAGCAGAGGGAAGGATATATACCTCCGTTTGTTCCATTTTGTATTGCTCTAGTGATGTAAGAACCACACCAAGCTCATACGAGCTCCCATGGGAGCACAGGAGGACGGGGTGAAAGTGGGGTGAATTTTCAAGTGTTGTTTTAGCATCTTGACTTTTGAACCATGTAAATGTGTTACTTGTTCCTTCACCAAATGAATCCATTATAAAGAGAAAGATAGTGCTCTGAGTGCACCCTCATCAGACTTGGAATCTGCAGCAAGGTACAGTCCCATCTTCCCTCTGCCTTTTCTGTGTCCCTGCAGAGCAAGCCCTCCCCCAACACACACACACGCACACACGTACCACAGACAACACACATGCATGGACACACACTCGCAGGCACACCTGCATGCATGTGCGCACTCACACTTCACACACACACATACACCACAGAAACCACACATACACTTTCAGGGCAGAATGGCACTGGGCTAAGATCGCCAGCCCCACAGGTCTTGGCAGAACTAAGCTGCAGGTCTAATTTGCATGGCGGGGGCATCCTGCTCCCTGGCCACAGTCCTGGCATGGCAACTCTCCCAGGAAAGCAGAGACAAGGAGCTTTGTCCTGTCCAAAATGGGGAACACAAAGGCCCGGAAACATGGATTAAAAGGAGGGGGCACCTGTGTGGCCATTTGGCCTGCCTGAGGACCCCTGCCTGTGGTTCCCTGTCTGTTGCCAAGAAGCCTGTGGTCTCTCACCTGCCTGGACCCGGGGACCACAAGCCCCAGGGTGCAGAAAACTTTTGCTTTGCAGCCAAGTGCACACTGTCTTGACTCAGAAGAGCCGTCTCCGTCTCCAAGGAAATAGGCCTTTCTGCCCAGGGGTCCTAATGTCTGAAGGGATCAGGAGGGAGATGCCTAGTGGTTCTGGAAGGTTTCCACACGCTGTCCTCACCACTTATGAGTAGGAAAATGCCGAGGAGGGACTCGGTGCAACCATCTCCCACAACTGTCCTCCCACGACTGTCCTCCCACGACTGTCCTCCCACGACTGTCCTCCCATGACTGTCCTTTCAAATGTGTCACGCGACACTTGCACACACACTTGCTGGCAAGGCTGGGTGGGGAAATTAAACACACACGCACTGCAGCCCCTTGCCCAGTCCTTTGACACACTTTGGTGCTTCCAGTTCATCCTGCCACCCATGGACTTCAGGCACAGAACTTCGGCTGTGTGCTCTGAGTGTGGCCACTGTGCTGACCTTCCTGTCTGCTGACATACCCACTGCAGAGGTAAACCAGGCCTCTACCCTTCCTGTGTCCAGGGCCTTCCCTTTGGCCCTGTTAGCACTAATGCCACTGGTGGTCCCCTGAGCTCCCTGAACTCTACATGAAACGCATATCTTCAGTGCCATCCTGGGAATCCGTGATGTCAGCACTGTGTTCTTCACAAGGCTCCTGTGATTTCCTCGTCTGTTTATCTGAGGTCTTCACCTTCTCATTACGGATTTCTTGGAGTTGGTTGTTTGGTGGTCTGGTTTGTCTGTTTAGCTGGTGGTTTTGGTCTCTGGACAAAGGGTTTTGCTATATAGGCAAATGGGTCCACCTGCGCAGCCCCCTGAGTGCTGTGATGTCAGGTGTATGGCGCG